TTCCCTACAGGGCCAAAGCCTCTCCGGGGAATGCCGCCCAGCTGCTCCAGCAGGAAGGTGGCACTTTACTGACACACGCCAGCTCGCTCTTGATGCCAGGCCAAGAGACCCTGCACCCAGCTCGCTCTGCCTTGGAAATCCGCTCCGACCCAGGCCCAGCTGCAGAGCGTGCGATGCTCAGACCTGGGATGCTTCCACAAGCAGCTCCATTCCACGATGCCCAAAGAAACCCAGACAGAGAGCGGTGATAAGTGCAGATGCACATGCAGGCTGATGGGACAAGATGGGTGGCTCCAAAACAAGGCCTAACCGTGCTCACAACATTTATGGCATGAATTTCACTCATTTTCATTCAAGACTGATTAGTCTTGGAAGGAAGGAAGAGCTGGCTCAGAATGGGGCACGGGTACACTGAGCTGGATGGAAAGAGACGGCAAGATCAGCACAAGAAATAAACTCATGTGTGCAAAGCCAAGCAGGGTGGCAAACCCCTTGGGGTAGCACGTTTTCACTGGATCCTAAATGCCTCGGAGAAGCCTGCTGTCAGCAAGTCCCGAGAGGAGACTGGACAAGCAGTCAAGTTTATGATGAAAAATGGGATGGATTTTTCTAAATTACTGTCCTGGTACTTGGGCTCATGAGCACATGGGACACTTCTCGCTCACCTGCTAGCCAAGCAAGATTGAGAAACAAGGAATAAGACATATCTCATGTTGACTGGCACTTTTACATTCTTCTTCCTTAGCAGAAATGCCAGTATTTTCTAGCCTTAACAGTTTCTGAGGCTGTGATATTTCTTGCCTTGTCTCTTCTTGGCAAGCGATCGACTGTAAAGTAACAGATGATCTAGCAATAGTCTCACATCACAGCATGTCAGAAAAGAGGCAGCTTGGTATTTGTAATCACTGCATCACTTCAGAAAGAACAATCTCCACTTGATCTGTGTAAATAGGGTTATTTATTTATTTTTTTAAAAGCAAGTCTATTTCTAGTTACAAAGGGCTTTACTCTCCCACTTTAGAGCACCTTTGTTCTTTAGTTCCTCAAATAAAGAAACCATTTTGCTCACCATCGAATCCAGCAGCCCATAAACCTGCAGCAGAAATGAACAGAAGAGAGTTGCAGTGAAAACGCATGAAGAAATCCTGATGACAAGACTGACAGACAGAGAGTGGGTTTCTCACGCAGGAGCACATTAACACACGGGCACGCACACAACCACATAAAAGTGGCTGCCTGCTAACAGAGCTTAGCTCTAGTAATAACTTTTCTGGCTATGAAGTGTGTTTAACATTATCCGAGATACAATTAATTCTGCTGATCCCTCAAGAGTCCGCAAGCATGCTAAAGACATCCCAGACAGAAATCCCGCATGTGGCTATGTGATGGCAGGATTTATGTTAACAGGTTCCAGGCTGGAATAAGGACACCTTACTTTGTATTTCACACTTACCTTGCTACAGAATTATGGACATAGGTTTGTCAGTTTTCTGAGTTTAACATGTGGAGCTTACCTCTCCACATAAGCTTCAGTGTAAAGAACAAGCAAAGAACAAAATCAAGAAACAAAGACACAAGCTGTGGTCAGACTCACCTCAATATAAAGTTTTTCCTGGTATATCCCAAACAAAACAGGGTCGACCTTCTCCTGAGGAGGTTCTACTGTAACTGTAGTTACAGCTTCCACAGGTTGTACTCCATCTCTCACCCCTTGCGAAGAAGTGGAGGATTTCCTCCTTTTCTCATCTTTTACTTTTAACTTTCTGCTGCTTGGATGTTCCTGTTCAGGGACAGACAAAAAAAAAAAAAGTGACATAGGTCAGAACACCTTTCAGATCATTGCAAGACACCCCTCCCAGATGCAGCACCTCTTTCACTGCACTGGAAATCAGCTCAAACTCAGGATACAGAACGTCAGAATGGATCACAGTGTCCTAGGCACCTAGGTTTCAACAAGCATCCCAACAC